TTTAGAGTGTAATTAGAGTTGAGTTTTTTTTTGTGTTTATGGGCCCACCAGATTTGGTGTTTTTGGTTTTTTTTTTTGTGTGTGTGAAGGTTAGAGTTGCCTTTATAACAAAAAGTTTACTACAACAAAATTAGTTTATAGAAGCCTACTGATTTCTAAATGTCTTAATAAACCTCTTTATATGACTTAATTTATAGGAACATAATATAAAACGTCATATCTAAAGGAATTGCATTAAGCTTAATATGACACTTTTGGACATCTTAACAAGTTTTTTTGGACATTTTTAATACAAAACTTCGTATTAACAATTTTACTATATACCTATGAGAAAGTGTTCTATAAACACATTTTTTATAGAACACTTGCTTTTATAGTATATTTTTCAAATATTGTTTTATAACATTGCTAATAAGACACTTTGTATTAAAAATGTCTTAATTAAAAATCTTGTTAAGACACCCAAAAGTGTCTTATAAACTTATTATAACAGTTTTAAATAAAACGCTTTACATTTTGATTATATAAATAAAGTCCTATAAAGCGGTCAATTATTATGCTTAGAAATTGGTGGCGTCCTATAAACTAAATTTTGTTGTAGTGGTTGTTAGTAATCCGTCGATACTATATTCCATTAACTGATGAATTACCGATAGTTAGTTCCATTAAAGCAATAAATAAAAATTAAAAGAAAATAAAATGTTGTCGGTATTTGTTGGTATCATGTAAATAAATGAAAACCTTTAACGTTCTTGACAGTTTTCCGACGGTTTATTATGATATCATAAATTGTTGCTAATCCTACGATTATTAGTGCTGAGTTACTAACGTTATGATTTCTACGACAACATATATCCGTTGATATTCATTTTGATTAATTGGAATTATATCTTTGTCGATGTTCGCTCAATAATGCATCGGTTATAAACCCTAATTAATTACTTATGATTTTGTACAAATGATATCTAATTTAGATTGAAAACACTATAACAAAATCGGGTTTATAGGACACTCCCAAATTCTAAGTATCCTAATAGACCTCTTTATAGGAACCAAAAAATAAAGTGTCTTATCTAAAGGTGTTTTAATAAATTTATATGACGTTTTTTGATGTCGTGATAAGTTTTTAGGACACTTTTAACATAAAGCGTCTTATTATCAACTTTATAGGACACTATTTGAAAAATTGTCATATAAAAACAAATGTCCTATAAAAAATTGAATTTATAGGACACTTTCTACAAAGTATCCTATAAAGTTGCTAATGCGACACTTTTTATTAAACATGTCCTAAAAACTTGTTAGGACGCCCCAAAGAGTCATATAAACTTATTACAACACTTTTAGATATGACGCTTTATATTTTGGTTCTATAAATTAAGTCCTATAAAGCGGTCTATTGGGACGCTTTGAGATTGCGGATGTCCTATAAACCCAATTTTGTTGTAGTGAAAACCAAGCAAATTTCTAATTCTTACTTATGATTGATTTTTTTTGTTTATCATTTTAATGATAAAAAAACCCTAATATGATTTTTCAGCCCCTTAAATCCTCCGCCACATCGGATATGGGTTTGCGACTCCTTCGCCTTCGTACTAGACGTAGATTGGCAAGAGAAAGGGGCCTACAACGAGGGCCAACAACGATGGGGATAAAATTGTGATATTGAACGAAAAAGATGTGAAGTTCGGCCAGTGAGGACAATGAGGAAAGGTGCGACGATGAGTAGATTTAAATATAATTGATTGCTTAATGCGGAAAGTGATGGGTTGGCATTCACACTGGTCAACGATGATATTTTTGGCCAGATGCCAATTTTTTTAAGAACGCTCTACCCTCAGACCAAGCAAGCACATCAGAGCATTGATTATTGAAAATCAAACATGTCGTTATTTAATTCTGGATGCAAAAAATACAAACGAAGAGACATTTTATTTGACTATTTTTCATTATTCTTATAAAATTCGTTAAGTATTATAAGTAAAGAAAATGTGTCATATAAACAAAAAAAGATTATAATAAATTAAAACCGTAGGTGGAAAGCCACTGAAACCTACATATATGGACCACAAAAGAATAAAAGGCTTCGATGTGAAGAGGGCTAGTCCCTAAAGGCCACACCATGTGCACCCACAAAGGTGCGACCCGTGGCTTGGTCCTACAAGGGTCATGACATCAAACCCACCCGACTCTCATAGATGCACCCATGGACCATTCATCGTCTTGTTTTTCCTTTGTCTGATCCTAAATTATAATGCGAGAAAACATTTCAAAAATGACGGTGGGGGATGATTTCAGAAAGCAATACATAAAGTCGCTGTGACGAATATTTGGTTATTTATTTCAAAAATCTTGGTTCAAGAATAAGATGGTGTGAAAGAGGTATGGTTGTTTATGATGTCCCTCTTGGACGTCACGTGCCTATGGACCATTTGGAATTGTATCAACTAAGAACCATAAACATGTGGTTGGACATGTGACAATGTTGAAAAAACGAACCATTTCTTGATGTATACGAAAATATTGTTATCGGGTGAAAAAGCCGTCAGGCTGAACGTTTCATCCGACGAGTTTGACTCACCACCAGTAACATCGAGTTGTTGCCATTGCCTGATGACAACTTGACAAACGAAAACCCTAGGCCTAAAACCATATATAGTTACGAATAAAGGAAGCAAGTTAGCTCATACAGTGTTTACACATACAAACAATGAAAGAAAATATATTATTATTCAGTGCTTTCAAAATTAGAAAATCATGCCCTTTAAGGTCGGATCTATTTTTGGCAAATAGTAAAATCATGAAATTCAGAAACGAAAAATCATACGTAATTGATCCTATCCCAAATAGTGAATTTTGGGCCAAACTACTTTTAGCCTTCGTCATGACGTTTTTCTCGTCACAACAGTAACTTTCGATGGATCAAAAGATATACTATATATATATATATATATATATATATAGAGAGAGAGAGAGAGAGAGAGAGAGAGAGAGAGACTTGGGATCATGTAAGACCAAGGGTTTTCCGTGAGACCCGTAAGACCAATTCTCAACCCTTAGATTAGATCTACAATCTAAACATTCATAATCAAAATTGTCACGAGACTTCTCAATAATCACAAAATTACCACCGTGCAACTTTAGACCATTAGATCATTATCTTATAAAGTTGATTAATGAATATAAATTGGTCTTACGGGTCTCACAAAAAACTCTTGGTCTCACGTGAACCCAACCCTATATATATATATCATCTTTTTAAGTTGAGCTTCTTACTCGTTAATCCATTAAAGAATCTGTTAACTTCTGAATTTGCTCTTTTATCATATAATCAACCTCATCTGATGCATCTTTTCATTCTCAATCATCAGAGATCACCGCATGCCTCAATAGACTTGTTTAGATTAGTTATAACTTTGAAATCTTGGCGTATTATATTTATATATATAATTGTCCCGAAACCACGAGAGACGTGTCCAAAGAAAAATCGAACATAAAGAATTCCCCCCTTTTAATTTAAATTCAAAAGAGAAACCATCAATTGAAAGCTAGGGTTCATGATCCATCTCTGCAAGACTTCTAATACATAAGTTAAAAACACTTGCTCATCACAATGTTGTACATATGTGGCATGCATGCCAAAGTGAGACCATACATCCATCCATCCACCCATCCATTTGTCCTCACATGATAACCAGTAGTTCTCATCTTAAATTGAAGTAGGCCCTAATCCAATCATTGATATAATCACATCTTACTCAAATGATAGAGATTTGTGGTGCACACTACTTAGACCTCTACCCACCCCACCCACCCCTCTTGGGATTATTGGTGTGGTCCTCTTCTTATCAGTCTTCCCCTATTCATAAGGATGTATGCAGTCTCACCTCCATTATATGCATGCGCCAACTTAATCTCAAATCTCATCACCTTAACTGTAATTCACATATGAATACAACTGAATCTGTGTTTCTTTTTGTAGTGCAATTTCTCTATACCCCTTTTTTGCTTGTTAATGAATTCATCGAATCTTGCAAATAGGACACTCAAAATGAAAACAAGAAAGGAAAGTGAGTGGACTAATTAACTGATCTAACCCTAATGCGCCACTTGAATCTTTAAATTCACTTCCCTTGGCCTATAAGGGATTGATTAATTAAAGGTCTTGATTTCACAATTGGTGTTACTGGTTCGGAAAAGAGGGCTTTTGATGACAAATCGAGCGATTTCATTTGAAACGACAACCGTTGGAGTCACCGATGGCGAAAAGTGAGTTGTTGGTGATAATGAAACACCAAGAGTACAATGCTACAATGTTGGGAGGTTTGGAGACCCATTTTCTGTCTGATTGATCAGACTTATTCATCAAGGAAGCAAGAAGTCTCAACACTTGTAAAGACTCAATCTTTTCCAACAATTATTGGCAAAGTTAGGTCATCAACCACTTTCTCAAAGCTAAATTCAACTTTTCTCTATATCTCATTAAGCTTTCTTTCTTTCAAGTTGTGACCAGCTTGCTTATATGTGGGCTTAATTACGTCTTAATGAGAAGATTTAGTGCTTATTACGAATCTTGGAGTCTTGTAGTGGTCGCACTTTTGTTGGGGACGAAGATGAAATACGAAGATGGTCCCAAAGCAAAAGAAGATGTACTCGCTCTATGATATCGATAACTCGAGCGCGCGAAATCATATGAATGATAGTTGCATTATGACATTGATAATGTATGTACCATTAAGTCATACACTTCGATAGTTACATGACATATGGGCATGATTAATAAAGATTCGACACCTCCAATGTTCATTTACCTCATTTTTTGTTTGATTTTTCATTTTTCGATTTGTGATTATAATAAATTACAATTAATGCACAAGTTAAACTTACGAAGAAACCCTAATTTATATATATTTTCCTAATTAATGAACGTAAGCACACTTCACATGAAATAACGTCTTTAATATATGAGCCTATATATATATATGAACTCATATATATTGTTATAGTGGTTGATGGCGAAACGACTTGAAATGCTTCGTGTCCGTGGTCCATTGACGCGCAATGTCTTCTGCAATCCTTGCAGCTTCTATGGATGTACCCAATAAGCCGCGTTTTGTGAATCCAATCGCATATAATCCGCACTCACCTTTCCATCCTTCGGGAAATGGTTTCGTGGGAAACCCATCTTTTTTGGAGAATAAGTCGTTTGTGTCCTACGAACAGAACCATAACATAAACCAAATATTAACTAAGGCACTTATATATACTATATTTGTTAACTATTTAATGTTGTTTATATATATATATATAGACTTGGGATCATGTGAGATCAAGAGTTTTCGTGAGACACGTAAGACCAAGTCTCAACCTTTGGATTGGATCTACAATATGACAATCTGAACATTCATAAACGTCATGAGACTTCTCAATAATTATAAAATTGTCATCGTGCAACTTTAAACCATTAGATCATTAGCTTATAAAGTTGATCAATGAACATAAATTGGTCTTACGGGTCTCACAGAAAACCTTTGGTCTCACGTGAACCCAACCCTATATATATATATATTAAGTTGAATTTATAGCATACCTTTAACCAAGTAGTCACATTACTCCTATAACCTGTGGCTAAAATAATGGCATCAAATTTCTCCATTCTTCCATCTACAAACTCCACAGTATTGCATGCTAGTTTCTTTATGCCTGGATAAACCTACATCAAGATTCAATTTTCGTTCATTTATGACGGAATTACACATCGTAAAAGTTTTATTCTTTCGTGGAGGTAACGTTTTCATGTACAACCATCAACTTTGGTCACAAACCAATTAAGGGACCGATATTTGGGTCATAAAAGATCGGTTCTTTTTAGTAACCCGAGTAAAAAAAGAAAGAAAGAACGAAATCGGAACCTTGATATCCCCACTTCTAATCTTTGCAAGTGTGCCTACATCTAACACGGGTGTTTTGCCGGAGATGTTCTTTAGTTCAAGAGGACCAAGCTTTGGTCGATTGAGTCCAAGTCTATCCGTGTCTCCGATCATGAAATGTGATGCGAAAAGCAAGATCCGATCGACTACTCTAATGGGGAACCATTTGAGCAACCACATGGACAGTCCAAAAGTTGATCTCCCAAGCATCTCTTGTGGCAATACATGCAACTGTAAAATCCATCAACCAAACCCACAAGTTATTTCCATCATAAAGAAAAGGGTCGATCACAAAAGCCGATTGAAGATGGGGATATTTCATGTTTTTTGCATACTGTGTAGAATCTTTTTAGCAGTGCGTGATTTCAAGAAAAGGGGGAATATCAAATGCAAGCAGCAAAACACGCATGCAAACGAAGTCCAAGAAAGTTAAAAGCAGAACTAAAACACGTCTGTAGTTAGATTCTCAAGAGAGATAACGAAAGCTTTTACAAACATTTGATTAATTTTTATCATTAATCATTACAACAAAATTGGCTTTATAGGACGCCCACAATCTGTAAGTGTCTCCATAGACCATTTTATAGGACCAAAATATAAAGTGTCATATCTAAAGGTGTTGTAATAAGTTTATATGACGCTTTTTGACGTCTTAACAAGTTTTTGATGACATTTTTAATACAAAATGTCGCATTAGCAACTTTATAGGATACTTTTGAGAAATTGTCCTATAAACTCAATTTTTTATGACACTTGTTTTTATAGGACAGTTTTTCAAATAGTGTCCTATAAAGTTGATAATGAGACACTTTATATTGAAAGTGTCATAAAAAACTTATTACGACGTCCAAAAAGTATATAAACTTATTACAACACCTTTAGATAGGACACTTTATTTTTTTGATCCTATAAACTAAGTTCTATAAAGAGGTCTATTAGAACACTTGGAATTTGAGAGAGTAATATAAACTCGATTTCGTTGTTGTAGTGAATTGAATAAAAACCCAGGTTTCTTTTCCTTTTCTTTTTTGACAACGACTTGTTTCTTGAAATTTAACATTAATTCACCATATCTTTAAAGACAAAGTAAAGTACCATCGGTATAAAAGTTGTGAAAAAATGTATCGAAGAGAAGCAAACGAAGGGCTTTCGTAAAAATTCTCGTGGAATCGAGAATGAAGTCTTCGTTCTGTACATGCCAGATCATGAATCAGTAACCGCATCCAATTTCTAGAAAAATCCCAAATGTTTCTGATGCATCAAAGTTTCATCAAGTATATAACTATTTTGTATTCTGAGAATAAAATCTTGTCACTGTTCTTCATGCAGACATAATCTCTTATCATGAGTAATGTATACATACATACATATACATACATATATATATATATAGAGAGAGAGAGAGAGAGAAGAATACGTACAGAATCTCTAACCACAAGGGATGGGTGAGCATTGTAGTTGCAGAGATCCAAGCAAACCTCCATGCCTGAATTCCCACACCCAACCACCAAAACCTTCTTGTTTTCAAAACAATCACCACTCTTATACGAACTCGTGTGCAGAATCGGCCCAATGAACTCATTCATCCCTTCAATCTTAGGTACAACTTCCTCAGCATTCTCTCCTGTAGCCACTATCACCCATCGGCAAACGTACTCCACCATCTTCGTTTTAACCCTCCACACCTCACACCCACCGTCGTACTCCGCCCTCACAACCACCGTATTGAAAACCGGCTTCAAATCAAACTTTCTTGCATACCCTTCAAGGTAAGCCAAGAACTGTTGCTTAGTAGGGTATGTTGGGAAATCTTTAGGGAAAGGTAGAAGTGGGAGTTGACAAAACTGTTTAGGTAAATGAAGACATAACCGATCATAAGTCTTCATCTTCCATAAAGAAGCTATACAACAACTCCTTTCGAGAATCAAGACCGGAACACCATGGTTCTTGAGACAAGCAGCTGCAGCTAGCCCTGAAGGGCCTGCTCCAACAATGACCGGACCAGGGACCCAAACACGGCTAGCCATGGAGCTGCCTGAACCTGTTGTTGAAGCTGCTATCTGGGGTTGAAAATAGGGATCATGTACCCTCTTTGCATATTCTTCCATTGGCTATACAGCCAGAACAATCAAGAAGCTTTCACAGGCAATTCTTGAATATAAAAGGCATGCAAAAGTAGCTTGCTTTGATTTCTTGGCTAATTAGGATGAAGATTGAGGTAAGAAGAAGGGGTTTTAGTAACAAGTACTAAAAGAAGGAAGAGTGCTTCATTGGGGAGGGATACTTTTAGTTATGAACAATCATATATATGGTGGTGGTCTGAATGTATACAGACACATGTAAATTAAAGGGGTGGGACACCAAAAAGATAAGTATTTATTTAATGATTAACAAAATATGGAAAAAAATTTGGGACTGATTTAATGTTTGCATAATCATTAGTTTGAGACATTACCATAAAAGTATTAGTTAAATAAAACCAAACAAATTCGGTATATTGAAAGTAGGGTATATCAAGTACGGAAGTAGGTCGAGGTTTGAAAGAGTGAAATGTATGTTGGATTTTTCGTAATCTCAAGTGACGGAAGAACTAATTTTCATAAAGATCGGCCATTAGCTTGTGAAAAGATCTAGAAACCTAGTTATAAGCTAAGGGGATGTTTGTTTAGAGCTTAATGTGTGCTTAATGGTCTGTTTACCTTATACGCTCAACTCTTTTAGGTTGTTTATTTGTGGCTTATTTGCATAGAATATGTCTTATTCACAGAGACGGGAATGGTTGTTGTCCCATTCAGCAAAAAAAGACACCCACACTTCTTACAAGCATGAATCTTTCTCATGCTTCCTCTTTCGGACTCTGTTCAAAACCCTAGCACCTTCCCATGCCTCTTCTTCCACTGTGTATCGTGAGACCCTGCATCTCCTTCCCAGCGGGTGATCTACGGCAATCTTCTTCCTCATCTGCGCCTTTGTCTTCACCGATGACCATCTTTTTGGCAACCGTTTTCTTTCTCATCGGTGCCTCCCTCTTTCCTCAGCGACCCTGTAGTTCCTTCATGACGGGTGGCTCCCTCTTTTTTCCACCTCATTGTTTGATGTTTGTAAAGTTCCTTTTTGATTTCGATCCCGATTTCATTTGTAGTTTCTGAAGTGTTCGATTTCATTTTTTGAAGTTTGATTTTCCTAAAGTTTGATTTCGATTTTCCTGAAATATTAGTTTTCGATTATTTCTTCTAATCAAAAAACCCTCTTTTTATTTTTGTTCAGATTGTTTCAGATTGTTCAATTTTTCATTGATTGTTTAATTCTTCATCGACTGTTCGTTTCAGATTGTTCGATTTCTATTTTTGTTCGACTTCTATTTGTTTCAGATTGTTCAAGTTCGATTTCTGTTCCAGATCGTTCAATTTCAATTGTTTCAAATTGTTCAATTTTCGATTTGTGTTCAGATCGTTTCTTGAAGGTCGATTTTGATTGTTCATGTCTAATTTAACATTAGTTTTTTTAAATTCATATTAAAATAAATTACATGCAAACATGTAACTATTTGTGTTAAGATGGTCACATACAAATTTATGATATACACTATTTGAAGTAACATGATTAATCATAAAATATTTTAAATATTTAAGTTACATATAAAAAGAAAACAGTAATCAAATAAAAGAAACGATAATGGTTCAATTACATACTAAATCATATGTGATTTAACCTGCTTATTTTTTTATTTAATTATTATTCATATATGAATCTTTTATATATATATATATATATATATATATATATATTTGTGTGTATAATTGCTGGATAAGAAAAAGAATAATTGGATAATGAATCGAGAGGGATGGAATGAAAACAAAAAATAAAATTCAATATTGGATAAATTTTATTGACTAGAAATGATGTTGATATTTCAATTCATTGACCTAAAAGTAGTTGGAGATATGGATGTAGAGCTTCAAACTCTAAAAATCACATCGATGAGACACTACAAAACCGATAAGTATTTTAAACGCAAAATTTCGTCCAAAATCCGTTAAAAAAATGGTCGAAAATTTAACTTTTTTGACGGAAAAAGTCTGTCGAAAAATCCATGAAAAATGTGAGAGATTTTCGACGGAGCTAGTTGACTATTTGCTAAACGGAAATTCGAGAGAAATTTACAAGGGATTTTCGAAGGAAATGATTTTTGAAGGGTTTTCGACGAAAATGACCATTTTTGGAATATTCCGAACCATTTATGAACATCACAGCAAAAATGATTAAAACATTTATGGCTCCTACGTAAATAAGGAGCTGCGCAGCAGCTACAAAATGGGAGTTCGATAGAATATAGAATAAAGATGTACAAACAAAAACAAATCCCAACAAAAAGGCAGAATAAATGGGATTGGGAAGTAATACTACTGCCAGACCCCCTAATATAAGACCTAATCCCAGAAASACTAAAAGAAAATCATGTATTAATACAAGTAAATCCGTTATATATAAAATAAGAGATAAATAAATCAAAATCTTTCATAACTTTATTGACCYGGTCAGGAAAAAAGAAGTAACTCTACTTTTTACAATTTTTGTACAGATTTTAATGGGATTTTAGACGGGCTCTGAAAAAATCCATCGATTTTCTTAAGTATTTTCTGAAAAAATAAATTTCAAAATACATATTTCAGTATATAACAAAAACAAATACCATATATTATTACAAAAATTTGATAGTCCGTCTAAAATTTTCAACGGATTTTCGATAGAGCACGTGCCATCAATAATCCGTTTAAAATCCATCTAAAATATTAAAAAATACTTATATTTGTTGAAAAACGGTCAGAAATTTTCGACGACTTTTTCGATTGAATTGAAATGAAAGAATGTGGTTAGATGAAATGTACGATTTATTTTAGTATATGATTAGTTGTCATTATATATTTTTATGTTTATTTATGGTAATGCTTTCAAAATCATTTTTTTAATTAAATGAATCTTAAGTTAAGTGTTTTTTTGTTCAAAATAAATAGTGATTTTAAACTTAGGTAAAATTTTAGTCTATCAAATCGGCATCATATACAACAATTTACTCGGTAAGCATTACCGTTGTAGGATTCGTCACCCTCACTTACCGGATAAAACTCTTGATCTTTACCTCACTCTTTATCGAGTAAGATTCTTGATCCTTAATATTTTCATCCAAACGTTTTAATAAACGGTACCTCAATTAAATCTAATTAAAATTCCTTAGTGACAATATGTTTAAAACACGTATCTACTCATTATCAGTTGAAATATTTGAACTGGTGTAATGATATACCCTCTTGAACGATGACTACACCTTTAGTAAAACACGCATACTTGAGGGATATAATATGGAATACGTTGTTCAAAACGTACCACATCTTGTTTGTCATATCTCGTACTTTAAATTTTTGATTATTCTCTTCAACCGATAATACCATTTTGATTAATATTTCTATAATAACAAACATGTCATATCGTCTTCAATTCACATTTCTTAACGATACTGGTATTACAACATAGTTGCTTTCTTTATGGGTGTCGTTTTACTCGAAGCTTGACGTATGGTCCCTCAAGCCCTCTACGTTTCATAATGCTAAAACACGAATCCAAACCACCAACCAGGACTTGCCACATGATCCAAACGGATACAGAATAACACAGTTCTCTTGCCTATACCATCACCACCAGTCGCTAGTAAAAGTCACATATGGTAAATGAAAACCTAAACATAAACGTGTGACATCTCGCTTCCTTTAGTCAGTCAACGGAAGACTTAGACGATGTAGCCCCTCAAACCACCACTAATAAAAGACGGAACACCTAACAGAGGCAACCATCAATCTTTCATTATGTACATGAAAGGAATTGTACACAATTCAAACACTAATTTTCTTATATAACGACCAATATCCATTTAAACTATCATTTCTTTATCAAATTAGATGTCTCATTTATGACCAGTACACACACATACACACACACACATATATATATATATATATATATATATATTATATATATATATATATGTCAAATATGTGAGGTTTAAAAAAAAATCGTTCCATCAATCACTACAGGGCTGTTTACCAAATTTTTTATTAAGTCTTGTCCGAATAAATTTGTCTGTTTGGATAAATGAGTGTTGTTGTTTACTTTTTTTATCTGAACCAGCAGTCTGAATAACATAAATGACCGATTTACCCCCCAATATTAATTATTTGAACATCAAAACAAAAAATCACAAAGAGGTTGACGATGAGGTGTCTCATTTGAGAAGGAGACGATGTTTTAGATAAAGGGTAAGGGTGTTATTTTTGTGGCTGAATGGGGACAACACGTCATTTCTATCTGTGCGATTAAACCATGTTTTGTGCGAATGATCCGTAAGTAAACAACCCAAATAAATTGTGCAAATAAGGCAGATAGTCCAATAAACCTAATTAAGCCACAAATAAACTTCGGAATTTGGAACTTTTAAGGGTGTGTAATAATGACTCAATTAAAAAAATGGTTTTTTTATGAAAATTATGGTGTGGGGATTTAAAAAAAGAATTAAATATGTAATATTCTCTAAAACACATACTATAATGGGCAAGTGACCCTTTTCCCTCCATCAACAAAGCAATAATTAGTAAAAAGGTTTATCCTCCCTATTAATTAATGCTTTATTAATTAGGCCATAAGAACCAAATTAAAATTAAATCAAATTTAATTATTAATTAATATTACTAGCAGTCTAGCATAATTTATTGAGATTTTACAAACCCATAATTTAAAATTAATTTAATCTTTAAATGGAAATTAATGAATTCTAAGTTATTTATATAAAATTAAAATATTATTAGGTCTCTTTGATTGATGTAGTTTCATGTTTGTTTTTCAATATATATTTAAAGAGATGGGTGAGTTATTATACAATTCTTTACATTTGTATAACAAATGTAATTCAATCTCAAACGTCTATTTTAATTTGATTAATATGTAATTTTATAAAAGTTTTGATTGTTTTTTTAATATAAAGTATTGATCATGATTAATGAACCTTATTCATCTTCAATAAATATTTAAATCATAATAAATGAACTCTCATCATTTC